CTGTAGGGAGATTAAATGTTATATTTCATAGCACAATACTTTGTCATTTTTCAATCCCCACGTCAACATTTTATATTTTACTTCTTAATGACATAAATATTACACAATAAATAAAATATTATTTTTTTTTTCAATTTCGCCCCCTACATTCACATGTATTTCAAATGTTGGCTTATTCTCTTTATTTGGTAATATGCCAGTAATTTATTTCCGTTTCCAATAAAATACAACACTTTGATGGTTTCAATCAATTTTGCCAACTGTCTGCAGTTAAAGTTAAAGAATGTTGATGATTGACATTTAATGACAGGTGTAAAATAACTATAATTCTATGAAAGACAAAGACAGGCACATTGTAGAATTTAATGACTCTGTACAACAAACCGATGACATTGTAATTGGAATTGTTTGTAATTATTATGTTATACAAACCAACTAAATGGTAAACAATCTAAACATTTCTGGCCCATACCATGGGCTGCCAGTTGGATTTTTGACAGTTATATTGACGTATCGAATATTTTGTCTATATCAAATCTTAACGAGAACAATGAACTTTAGATTTAACGTTCAATTGCTTTTGGCCACAATTGTCTATGGTAACGTTGTTTTTTCTTTTTTCTCAATTTTATGTTATAACCGATTGGTGGAACAAGATTTCTAATAACGCCACAACATGCGGTTATTGTATATTTCATGAAATCCATTATTAACCCATTTTTCACCATTTATCAACATATAGACGACATAACTTCCCTCAACAAACTACCGTATTACGTTGTCTGCCGCATACTTTTCTTTCGAGTCTTTTTGCTCTCTTCTTTCTGCCTTTTTGTCACCCACCATTCAGTGGCACAAATATATGTCATGTAAATGTGTTAAATACTGTAATTTTTTTATTGGAGTTGTTGGTAATTCGATACATAATGCCGTGGCTGTGTTCACTTCTGCGAATGAAATGACATGGCAAAACTTCCTATTTACCGATTACTTACTTTGCAATTATGAGGCTTTTACTGGCATAATTTAAAAAAATAAATAAATAAAGCGGGAGACAAGGCCTTAAGTTAAGTAACAGGAAATTTTTGTAAGAAGGAACTAAGAAATGTTTTATGTAATTACCATATAATCTGAAATTTGTTGAGATTTAAAATTGATTGTTTTTTTACCAAGAAGACAATTTGTGATATTTTATTATATCATATAGTTTATTGAGAACAAAAGTTGATTCTATGCTTTTGACTCGCCAGCCTTCCTGCTACTGTAGTTTATCACACAGACATCTTGGAATCTGAAATAAAATCACTTGGTTATTTTTAAATTCTCTACACCATACAACTCACATTAGCAGTTCGCTTTTCTTACCTGAAACCATAATTTCCATCTTGCCAATATGAAAAATCTCCCATTTGGCTTAAGAATCCCATCAAATCCCATAACAAATTATATGTTATGTGAACCGAATTCAGGACGGTAATCTTGATTGTTTTGATAAATTTAGTTTGAAAATCAAAGTTGTATCTTTTGCAAATGAACTGAAAATTGTGCGTACGTGAGATGGGATTTTTTTTATTATTATATCCTCGACAATAAATGAACAAAGAACGAAGACAATAAGTTTTGCAAAAGTAATCGAATTGAAGTTGAGGTAATGATCAGAAATCATCTCGACCCAAAAGATGGTTGTAATTGTAAAATCGTGGAAAATGGTGCAATATTTTTTATTCATGCCCTGTAATGCTCTTTGAATTACAAGACTACTTTGCATAATTTCAGGCTAAAAAATTGGTAAGATGTAAGAGGTTTTATTCATTTTGCTCCGGATAACTTGTAAAATTCTTATATGCACCAATTACTGAATATTGGTTATCTTTGCTTCTCCGCAAGCCCTCTATTGTAATTTCTTCATTTATGAGTGATAAAATATCCAAAATTCTTGGAAAGGCTGGATATTGGTATTTTCATAACTAAATCTAAACGATAATTACTTACATTTTCCATTTTCTCGGAGATGTTTTTAAAAAAGTTTATCCCCAACACCTCCTCAGTTGATTTGACTTAACAGTATTTTCTAAAAGTTCCTCGCCATTACAAAAATATTTGCGAACAATGAAATTTCGAGTAGAATTGAACCTTTAAATGATATCCATTTTAATTGCAATTTTATGAGCTCCAAGACATGCCATCCATAAACCTTTTCTCAAAAAAAAAAAAAAATATTTCACTCTTGAGGCACAGTCAACAAACAAAAGAAAATGCAATCAGCCAAGTATCAACTCTATTGAGGCTATTGTGAAATTTCATTTGTATGGGCACACATGTGAATACCCAAGAATGAAAGCTCTATACAATGCCGCGGTCGCATTCACCGTCATGAAAAGTTATGGTAACTTTTACATCATGTCTCCTTTCATGTAAAAACATCTCTTAACTATCTTAAAGCGAACACAACACATATCACATTGTCGTCGTGTTCTATAACTTGAAGTGTCAAATGTTTGAACTATTTGCATTTGTCTTGAATGCCCAGCAAACCACAAAACTTCTTCTTCCTCCACTCAAACTTCAATTCTATGCGAATAGACCATTCAAACACTGCAACGAAACACAAAAAAAAAAAAAAAAACATTGAAAAACAAATGTCTTTCATATTGTATTGTGTCGGAACAGTTGTGGAACCCACTTACCATGCTTCCTGAAATCTATGTATTTTTCTGTCTGCCCTTGTGTGTTTGTATGGCGGCATGTAAGGAAGTCTGCTATTTGGTGTGTTATCGAACTGTGTTTGTTGTTCCTCAAAGAAAGTCTTTGGAGATTTGTGTTGAAAAGTTACCCTAAGGCGGCACGTGTTCATGTTGATTATTATTTTGCCATTGGCATTGATCATCGATGTTTGACGACAATGGACATGGTAAGACGAGAGGACATGCTTGTTGGGCTTGTGGTTCCAGTGCTGTTTGGTGGCAGGCTGCCTGTTTGGCTGGCCTACAGAGTTTCTCTCTGGCATCATGTGCTAATTCAATATTGATTGGTGTTGATAGTTAAGCTTATTGGCAACGCCTTTGGAAAACCTATAAATGGCTTTGCTTCCGACTTGTGGTTAGAAAGGTTTTTCTCCTTTCCAATTGTAGTTTCGTATCGTTTATTATCTTTTTGTGTTTTAAGGCGTCACAATTTATTAGAGCATTATGATTAGCCATGGTCCACACACAGGCAATTATCTTTAGAGTTATATGAAACTGCTATTCTTGTAAACAATTCCTTGAAAATATCTCTATCCGGTAATTTATTGAGAACAAAAATTAATTTATTTTTAAAATGTAAAGGCATCATTCCTTATCTTCTTCTCTATCGGCTAATCATTCTCAGTGAACTGATAACAAGTTAATTGAAGCAATCAAGGCATTGCAATGACGGGATCTTGTGAAGAGAAAAGAGATTTCAGTTAAAACGGGGATATTATTTTTAAAAATATATTATACATTACATTCATGATAAAGAAAACGAAATATAGGTGAGCATTGTTTTTTGTGAAATGACCCAAAGTGAGATAAGAATTTCTTTTTTTGCACATTTTGTGAAATTGGGTTAATAAACTGAACAGAATTATTGAAATATTTTCATAAATTTGTTTTGAACCAAAAAACCGTGAAAATCAAAAAAAAACAAGTAAAAAACATTAGGTTCGGCCGGGCCGAACTTTTAATAACCTCCACCATTGGATAATGAAAACATTTTTATATAAAAGTGTCTGAATTCAAACGTATCCCACTTTAAACTACAAATACCAGTAGGAACATTTGGTCGATAACGCTGTTAAATTTTTCAAAAAACCATAAAGATGGTTAGGCCGTTATATGAGGGGCCATACAAAAACGAGAACCTCTATAGGCAATTTTATACTTCAAGGATTGTCATCTACCAAATCTTATAAAATATCGAATATCGGTAGGTATCATTATATGTGCGCTATAGGAAAACGTGGACCTTAATATTCAATGTTCCGCCGACGGAACTAGAACCTATTGCGAACTACAAATACCAATTTTTAGACAAATCCACGCAAAAAAATCATCAAAATATCGAAAATCCGAAGGTACCATTATGTGGGGGCTATGCGAAAACGTGGGCATATACATACTATGTTCCGCCACCGTAGCTAGAGCCCATTATGAACGAACGAAAATATTAATTTTTAGACAAATCCGTGAAAAATGTGGCAAAATTCATCAAAATACTGAATATCCAGAGGAATCATTATGTGGGACTTTAGGAAAACGTGGACCTGTACATACAAAGTTGCGCTACCGCAACTGGAACCCATTATGACCTACAAATACCAATTATCAGACAAATCCGTGAAAAATGTGGCAAAAATCATTAAAATACCTAACATCGGAAGGTAACGTTACATAGAGGCTATACCATATCGTGGACCGATATACCTGATTTTCAATACCAACCGTCCTAAACATAATACACATTATTGTGCCAAATTTTAAAGCTCTACGTCAAATAATGTGGGCTGTATCCTGATTTCAACATCATTCCTTATCTCCATTTTTATCAAATAGTCATTCACATTGAGTTGATGACAAGTTCATTGAATCAATCAAGGGTTCTATAGTGTGATTCTGTAACGTATTTTTTGAGTAACCGATATTGGTAAATTTAAAATGCTTATAAATTCGTAAATTAACGAAAATTGTCGGCAACATCGCGGCCGAAATAAAAAAAGTCGCTAAGTCCTACCCATAGCAAAAGTGCTGACAGCTTTAATTTAAACTTTTCATTCATGATTTAGCTTTTTAATTTTACCGTCGTTTGTCGGTGTATTAATCTCTGATCCACGAAGGTTGAGTCCGAAAGGACACCTGTTTGTAAAATTATCCCCAAAAAAATTTAAATGAAATGATAGATATAGACTTAGTATAGCTGTGATAAATATTCTGTGAGCTATTTACCAAAATTTTAATTTATTCTACTTTCTCCCATTGCAGTTTTCACCTGGGGCAAACGCATGAGTCGAAAACTGGATATACTGAAGCGAAACGATACAAATACCCATAAATCGCATACGGATATACGCAGTCTCTTCAATTCCCCGGTACACAATGCAAACACAAGTAACGGCGGCACTGGGGCGTCATCCCAATCGAAAGAATCTTATCAAGTGAGTACTTTGAAGAAGTGCAAATCGGGCCCCATTGAGACAATTAAAAAACAGGAGCAGCAGCAGCAGCAACAAAGAAACCAAAGTATCAAGCAAACCATAAGAGCTTGTGAAAATGAATCTACCCAATCGGCCTCTAATACCCCCACCCATTCGGTGCAAGCCAGGCCACAAAAGGCCATTAAGAACTTCTTCCATCGCATTGGATCAACGGGTATGTTGAATCACAAGTCCCACAATCTCATCAAGGCAGCCGAACCCAGTCATCACAGTTCAAGCACGTCCCTGTACCGCAGCAGTTCAACAAGTCAGCTGAACTCCTGTTCCTATGTAAAATGTGACGATCCCAGTGATGGCCTGAATTTGGCCAATGGCCAGAAGAGACAGTCGATGAGTGGTCTACCAAACAATTTGGGTGGCAAACCTGGCAACAACATGTCTGGGTCGGGTATTAAATCCAGCAGCTGCGATGACATAGCCAAGGTGGGTCAGATAATCACATCGCCGTCAAGTTCAAATGATGCCAGTTCTGCCACATCTCCACAAAATTCCTCAGATGCCAATCAAAGACGTGGAGCATTTCCATATGCCTTTCTACGCTCAAGGCTCTCGGTTTTGCCGGAGGAGAATAACGGTTCGGTTCTAAAGCAGCCTTCCCTCTCAAGTCTCCACCAACTTGGCGAGCATTCTTCACAGGCCCAAAGTTCACATCAACAATATCTGCAAGTCCACTCCTCACCACTGCCGAAACATCGCAACTCTACCATTCTACCTGCCACCGAAACGGAACTCTCCCAAATGATTGACACCCTCTCAGTTGCCAGCTCAACACCGAATCATGGTGTCAAGATGATATATCGCAATGATTCGCTCAACAAACGTTATTCCTCGGACGATAGTGCTATTAGCAATTGTTCGCCGGTCCTGCAGGGCAGCAGCGGTGGTGGCGGTGGCGGCAGCTCTCAAAATTCCACGGTCGGCAGCAACGGCAGTGGTGATGTGTCGCGCAACAACAGCATCACTTCCAAGGACTGGGAACCACTTTACCAAAGATTAAGTAGTTGTCTAAGTTCAAATGAATCGGGTTATGACAGTGACGGCGGTAACAATACCAGCCGTCTGAGCAATAGTCTGGGTATCTCCAGCATAGGAGATACAGAATCTATTGCATCGGGTACACTGAAACGGAATTCCCTTATATCGCTTGCCTCCTCGGAGGGTCTAGGCGGCGGCGGAGGAGCTGGTGGTGGTGGCAGTAATACCCTTCGATCCAGCAGTATTTGCAGTACCATAAGTGGTCCTGTCTCATTGGGTGGCTATAACTATGACTATGAGACGGAGACCATACGTCGTCGCTTTAGGCAAGTCAAATTGGAACGGAAGTGCCAGGAAGACTACATTGGTGTGGTGCTGTCACCCAAAACGGTGCAGACATCCAACAATGAACAGCAGTATCGCTATTTGATTGTGGAAATTGATCCATACGGCATGGCCCAGAAGTAAGTACAAAGGATTTTTTTTGTTGATTCCGTCATGGAAGAATTATAGATCCAGCTCTGGTACCTTTATAGCTCTTAGAAAAGGAGCTCTAGCTCGTCTATGGTTCATAGAGAAGCTCTAGCTCGTCTATGGCTCATAGAGGAGCTCTAGCTCGTCTATGGCTCATAGAGGAGCTCTAGCTCGTCTATGGCTCATAGAGGAGCTCTAGCTCGTCTATGGCTCATAGAGGAGCTCTAGCTCGTCTATGGCTCATAGAGGAGCTCTAGCTCGTCTATGGCTCATAGAGGAGCTCTAGCTCGTCTATGGCTCATAGAGAAGCTCTATCTCGTCTATGGCTCATAGAGAAGCTCTATCTCGTCTATGGCTCATAGAGAAGCTCTAGCTCGTCTATGGCTCATAGAGGAGCTCTAGCTTGTCTATGCTTCACAGAGAAGCTCTAGCTCGTCTATGGCTCATAGAGGAGCTCTAGCTCGTCTATGGCTCATAGAGCAGCATCTATTTCTATCTAATCTTCCAATTTATCCTGTTTTCTTTCAGAGATGGCCGCCTACGCCTGGGTGATGAAATTGTCAATGTAAATGGCAGTCATTTAAGGGGCATACAATCCTTCCAAGAAGTTCAACGGCTGCTTAACTGTTTTGTGGACAATTGCATCGATTTGGTCATAGCCCACGATGAGGTGACGACCATAACCGATTTCTATACCAAAATCAAAATTGATGGCACCACCAATCATTATCATGGACAAATGTTGGAGTCCAATCAACAGCAGCAGCAGCAACAACAACAGTCTCAGAAACAGAAACAACAGCAACAAGGCGATCTGTATAGTTCCATGCAATCCCTTAATGCTGACTCGGGTCCGCAGCCGCCGCAGACACGTAATGATTATTTGGCAAGGGCCAGGAAACGGCTGAGTTATACCCAACGGACCCAGAGTACCGACAGTATCAATAGCTATGATTTACATAGCCTGCAATTGGCTTTGGACCACGAACGGGATGAAGATGACACAGCCTCATTGGCCAGCACCTCGACGATAAGTTCCCGCATGGACATGAGCAACTCGGGTATGGCAAGTATGCCGCCATCGATGCCATTGATGCAACATCGGCGGTGTTCCACCCCACGGCATTCAATGGATGCCGCTGCCATGGAACATTTGAGGCGACGGGCCCGTTCCTCTTCAGGTCAGCGAAATTTGGAATTATCGCCATTGCTTTATAATCCCACGCCGGAATACACACCTGTCTATAACAATCGTTCGGCGAGTGTGTCTCTGGCAACGCATACGATAAGCGATGATGAGAAATGGCAGCTATTGAATCGAAAACGCTGCTCTGAGGGCGCAGCTTTGTTGACACCTCTCTCGGCTGGCAAAGAAGTGCGCAGCTCTTCGCTGAGCATTGAAACCCGCAAAGCTAGTCTTGTAAGTCAGAGCAGTGTTGAGAGCAATCCCAGCTCAAGTACCTCAACGGCAGGTGGTGGGGGAGGAGGCGGAGGAGGTTTTTCTTCCCGCTCCCATTACACCCGCAATTCAATCAATCTCTCAAATTCGCATTATCGTTCGTTGCGCTTTGCCCACTCCCGTCTCAGTTCGTCGCGTTTAAGTTTATTTTTACAACCAAATAACTCCTCCTCGGCCGCAGGCACCGCAACAACAACAAACACATCACCAACAACAACAACACAATCAAATAACAGTACACATAACACTAATAATCCACTTAAAAAACAACAACAAACTAATAATTTTACAACAACCAAAATTGCTTTAAATAACCAACAACTTGAGGACGACAACAACACAACTGACTCGGAATCACCATTGCCAACAGATTCAATTCATGATCTCAGTAATACCAATAAATCCGCCCAACAACAACAACAACAACAGGAAAAACAAACAAATTGCACAGCTTCAGCTTCCCTAAACTTTAATCAATTAACCAAACATCAGCACCACCACAACCAACAACAACAACATCATCATCTAAATGTCTCCTCTTTAGTCGGTAACAGATCATCAACATCTTCATCTTGTTCTTCTTCTTCCTCGTCCTCATATCTAACCCCCACGGCAGCCATGTTGCAACATCATCGGCCCTCGTTGCCCGTGGTAAAACTAACCATAAAGGATGAAGAAATGGCCGAAGTTATACGGGCTTCGATGAGTGAGGGTAATGTCCTTAACAACATTTTAATACTTTTTTTAGCATTTCCTAAACCATCCTCCGTTATTGAGAATGTTATTTTTAATTTCCACAGGTTCTCGTCGTGGCACCCCCAAAATCGTAACCTTTTTCAAGGGACCCGGCCTCAAATCCTTGGGTTTCAGCATTGTGGGTGGCCGAGACTCGCCCAAGGGCAATATGGGCATATTTGTGAAGACAGTATTTCCCAGTGGACAGGCAGCCGATGATGGTACATTGCAGGCGGGTAAGTCGGATTTTTTTTTCAGAAAATATTTTTGACAAATAAAAATATTTTTTTTTAATAAAAAACAATTAAAAAAGCTGAATACCCTCCACCATTTGGAACGAATTTGGCAATTTTCAGAAAAAGAAAAAAATCCGTTAAAATCTTAAAAATGCCAAATGTAGCCGTCATAATAGGGTCGCAACGACGTGGACCTCCACAGAAATGTTTTTGTTAAAAGCTTCAGTACCCATTACGAACTTCAAATACCAAATTTGAAACAATTCCGGCGAATAATGTTGCTAAAATCATCAAAATACCAAATATCGACAGGTACCTTTATATGGGAGCTATAGGAAGACGTGGACCTGCACAGACAATTTTTTTGTTAAAAGCTCCAGTACCCATTACGAACTTCAAATACCAAATTTAAAACAATTCCGGCGAATAATGTCGCTAAAATCATCAAAATACCAAATATCGACAGGTACCTTTATATGGGGGCTATACGAAGACCTACATCTGCACAGACAATTTTCTGTCATAGGCTGTAGCATCCGTTACGAACTTCAAATACCAAATTTGAAACAATTCCGGTGAATAATGTCGCTAAAATCATCAAAAAACCGAATATCGGGAGGTACTGTTATATGGGGGCTATACGAAGACGTGGACCTGCACAGACAATTTTCTGTCATAGGCTGTAGCATCCGTTACAAACTTCAAATACCAAATTGGAAACAATTCCGGTTAATAATGTCGCTAAAATCATCAAAATACCGAATATCGGGAGGTACCGTTATATGGGGGCTATACGAAGACGTGGACCTGCACAGACAATTTTCTCTCATAGGCTGTAGTATTCATTACGAACTTCAAATACCAAATTTAAAACCATTCCGGTAAATAATGTCGCTAAAATCATTAAAATACCGAATATCGGGAGGTACCGTTATATGGGGGCTATACGAAGACGTGGACTTGCACAGACAATTTTCTGTCTTAGGCTGTAGTATCCATTACGAACTTCAAATACCAAATTTGAAACAATTCCGGTGAATAATGTCGCTAAAATCATCAAAATACCGAATATCGGGAGGTACCGTTATATGGGGCTATACGAAGACGTGGATCTGCACAGACAATTTTCTGTTGTAGGCTGTAGGATTCATTACGAATTTCAAATACCAAATTTGAAACAATTCCGGTGAATAATGTCGCTAAAATCAACAAAATACTGAATATCGGAGCTGCTGTTATATGGGAGCTATACGAAGACGTGGACCTACTCCACCCATTTTCAATACCAAAAGTCCCGCAGACATTATATATATTTGAATAAAATTTTATCAACTTAATTCATTTCGTTCGGAAGCTAGAGTGATTTCCACAGATGGATAGGCGGACGGACATCGCTAAATCGACATCGAATTTAGGCTGATCAAGAATATATATACTTTGTGGGGTCTAAAATGTATATTTCGAGGTGTTACAAACGGAATGACGAACTTAATATACCCTCCATACTATGGTGGAGGGTATAAAAAAATTTTAAATTTAAATTTAAAATTTTTATAAAAAAAATAATTTATAAAAATTTTTAAATTTAAATTTAAAATTTTTATAAAAAAACTTTTTTGGAAACGAACATTGAAAATAGATAAATTTCCATAAAAAAAAATAAATTTCACTATTTCAAAATCAATTTTTTTTATTTTGCAGGTGATGAAATCATTGAAATCAATGGTACTTCTGTGCAGGGCATGAGCCATGCCGAAACTATTGCATTATTCAAAAATGTACGCGAAGGAGCAATTGTTTTGAAAGTTTTAAGGAGAAAGTAAGTTGAAAATATTGATAAAAAAATATAAATTTTAATAATTGTCCTTTTTTTTTGAATTTTTAGATTGCAAAAGGCTAAATCCATGGGAGCTTGAAACTAAATATATTTTTAAACATAAGTTGTATTTCTAAATTTATTCTAAATATATTCTAAATTTATCCTAAGTTATTATTTTATAAAAAAAATATATATATATTAAGTTAATTTCAGTATAAAAAATAAATTGTATATTTTTTCTCTTTACCTTTTTTTTTTGTTAATTATAAAATTGTATTTATAATTAAAAAAATAAAAAAAATCTATTTGTAATTGAATGTACATTTAAGAAATATACAGCGTACAAAATATATACCCGTTTTGAAACTAATAAAAGTTAAGAGTAAAAAATATTGCATAACATTTAAAAAAAATCTGTTATATAAAACGTTACAATTTAACAAAGAAAATTTATCAACTGTTAATGTTAATTACTCGATGTATGTATGATGAATGAATGTAAATGTTAAGATTTATTCAAATTGTATTTCACTTGTAAATTAAAATAAACTAAAACACGTTGAATGTTTAACCAAAAAAAAAATCTTTGAATTTAATTTATTTCAGTTAACAATGAGCCGCTGCTTTTTCACAAAATGTTCAATGCGATTTTCCAGACTCTCTGTAAAGAAATATAAATAATTTTAAATATAAATTCTATGGATATTTTCTCGATACTCTTACCACATCGTTTCCTTGTTAACAATTTTTGATATTGTCTGGGTTTTACACCATCTTGCAGTAGCAGGACCTGTGATTGCACAGCTTGTGGCTTGAATTGTTCATCGAGTAGGGTTTCCAAATTGTGCAGAACATTACGGATCATGGTGGACCTGAAGGCATACACAAAATATGTGATTAATAATTGATACAATAGTTGAACTTCCAAAAGAACTGCCTGATTGTATGGGCCAGGCTAATACTCAAAATAGGAAATCTTTTTTCTGAAGCTAATATTTCATCTTGGCCTTGTTATACCCTCCACCATAGTATATTAAGTTTGTCATTCCGTTTGACAAAAAATTGTCTGTGCAGGTCCACTTCTTCCTTTATTCACCGGAATTCTTTAAAATTTGGTATTTGATGTTCCTAATGGATGCTACATCCTAAGACAGAAAATTGTCTGTGAAGGTCCACGTCTTCGTACAGCCCCATAAAACGGTACCTCCCGATATTCGGTATTTTGATGATTTTAGCGACAGTATTCACCGGAATTATTTCAAATTTGGTATTTAAAGTTCGAAATGGATACTACAGCCTATGACATAAAATTGTCTGTGCAGGTCCACGTCTTCGTATAGCCCTCATATAACCGTACCTCCCAATATTCGGTATTTTGATGATTTTAACGACATTATTCACCGGAATTGTTTCAAATTTGAAATTTGAAGTTCGTAATGGATACTACAGCCTAAGACAGAAAATTGTCTGTGTAGATCAACGTCTTCGTATAGCCCCCCACATAACGGTACCTCCCGATATTCGATACTTTGTTGATTTTAGTGACCTTATTGACCGGAATTGTTTCAGATTTGGTATTTGAAGTTCGTAATGGATACTACAGCCTATTACAGGAGATTGTCTGTGCAGGTCCACGTCTTCGGGGATGTCTAAAGAGCCCTTTCTCGCTTAGAACTAGTGACCAACTTACTTGATGCTAAATTGTGTCCATTCACTTTGAACATTTTCGATGAGTTTTTGTAAATTTTCCTCATTGTAAATCCAAGGACTTGTGTCAGGCGTAGAATCAATATCCATTATTTCCTCTTGCGGAGGAACAATATCATCTGTTTGTGCTGCCATTGCCAACTCTTCGTCTGTGCGACGACAAGTTTTCTCCCTAAATTCACAGTTAAACAAATTCAAGGGTAAACCAATGGCAGGGGTGTACTGGGGTTTACTATAAAACAAAAACTCTTTAAAAAAACTCTTCAAATAACAAAATTCTATGACCTTACCACGGGTTCTTTTCAACATCCAGCAGTTCAGTTATCACCTCTGGCTCCTCCTTCTCTTGGCCAATCAGCAACAACACCGCCATTATACAACGTATTTGATGCCACAAAAATGCATTGGCTTTGATCTCTAAGAAATACATGGAATAACCCTGACGTTGTTCATCCTGTACATTGGGACAGGGTAGGACATTGGCAGCTTGTAAATTTCGTATGTAATTGGTGACACCATTGTGGACATCCATTTTACAAAAGTTACGAAAATCACCATGTATTTGCAAAAGTTTACAGGCTTTTTGCATGGCCTAAGGGAAAGAAATAAAAATATTATTTTTGGAATACAAAAAACAATCTACATTTGCTTACCTCAATATTCAAATCTCCTTTGGGAAAATAATAACGATACGTTCTGGCAACACAATCGAAGCGGGCACTGTAAACAGGGCTGCGTAATGGCATCCAGGCAATGCATTGAATATTTTTCGGTAAAATGCGATTCAATAGACCACAATAGTCTATTTCATTTTTTAAGCTATCCTCTTCATATTGTTCCTCTGGGGGGAATTTACTACGCAAATCAATGGATATTACCTGGCAAAAGGCACTCACTTCTTTGTCGGTGCGGCCACAACGATGGTAATTTGAGGAATTTCGGGATTCTATCAGACAAGCTCTGGTTAGGGCTCTAAACAAATGATATTCTTTATAAAACATATATTATATAACTTTAACAAATAAGATATCTTAATATACAACCTATGGTAGCATTGGAATCCTCCTGACACGCATAGCCCTGATAATCCCAGCCAAAATAAAGGAATTTCATCAGGACATGTCTTTTGTGACATCTGTAAGAAATTCAAAAAGACATTAAAACTTTGATCTTCTATTAGACCACATTTCTACTCACTTGCTGAAATCGAATTCCCTCTTTTTGTTCTTCTTATTGCCAACGGCATTTGGATTTTCTGGAGATCCCTCCGTCGAATCTTCAATGGCATTCTTTTTATTTACATCCTCTGGCTTTTCTGTTTTGCATTGATCATTTAGTTGATTTAATTCCTTGAGTTCATCCCTCAAATCGTCATCATTTTCGTCCAGTTTTTTATTAAAAATGTTTTTCAATTGAAAATTATATGCCTCCAATTGTATGATTTTATCTATTAGCTCAGTTTTTGACAGTTTTTCTAGTTCCTCTCGTGGTAGTCCCTTAACACGTTTGTTTATTTGAATTTTTGAAGACATAATTTACAACTTTTTATTTCAAGCTAAGCAATTCTCTTGAGTTTTCTAAAACAAATGAATGGGGAAACTTATACCGGTTGATATTTACATTTGGATACCAAACATCTGACAAAGACTTATTATGCATTGTTCCTGTATACGCAAGCATATCTGGTTCCTTATTCATCCATGTTATATGATTGGAATTTGAATCATCAGTGTTTGGAAGACCCCCATCACAATATAGTCAAATTGACTTTCATAGGACCCCAAGGTTTCAAGCGATGAAGCCATGGGAGCTGCTTGAGGGTATCTTAGCTCTCGGCGCACTCTCAACTCATTTATCCAATCACATGCACACACACACTTATTCAACTTTTCCCTCCACAATTGGGGGCCTTTCATGTCAAGTCGAGAACATAGCTCCAATTAAAACTCACAACATTCCACCCTTCACACAAAATTCCTAAAAAAATCAATTTATTTACAAATTAACAAAAGAAGCCTCACCACGACCGCGCGAACAGGGATCACCAGATAGTTAAACAAATAATTTAGGGATTTAAAAATCAATAACATTCAAAACATGAACTGCTGATCATTTTTCTTCTTCGTTAGGCAGTGATTCACTTGAAAGTGATAACAGCCACATCTTTAGTTAGTTAAACGATTTTGGAAAAATTAAAGTTTTCAGTAAAGAATACAGTTTTTATGCAAACTAGATCACCATTTACAGAATCTTTTCACTGTAACTTCCATCAAATTTCTGTCGCCTGCTTTCTTCTATAAAATTTTGCTGATAGAACACTTTTGTTACGATACCGAGTTACCACCTTGTTAAGTGACTGGCAGTACATCAAAACGTTAATGCAAGTTAATTAAAGAAAAAATCTAATTTTTTCCAATACATGGTTATCATTTTGTTTTAAAGCACTTTGCCCTTTGGCATATTAATAAAAAGGAAGGCCCTTATTTTGTGTGTCGATACTAAACCATGGTAGAAAAATACAGGTAGATGCATCAACAGTTGGGAATATTGATATGTCAAAAAATTTTAAATGTTTCTTGAAAAATAAATAGATTTTCATATGTTTTCTTATACGACGTCATTCGAAGTTTATTATAATAAGCGTTTTTCAACAATTTTTACAAATTTAAATAATTTTTCATTTAACATTTTTAATTCCAAAATTGATTTGACAGTTCATTGTCCCAGCAGCTGAGTCGATGCGCCTACCTATATTCTTCTACCATGTACTAAACACACTATTATAATAAGTTTTTAGTTTTTTTAGCATCTGGCAATTGACCGACAACAAATTTTGTAAAACGGTCTATACCAAATAATGAACATTTTTTGGCGAGATGGTTTGTATCCTCTGACAAAAACGCACATTAGAAAATTCATATATTTATATTTAATATATCGAACTCTATCTTGATTTTGGCATAAGGAGAGAGTATTAGCAACTTAGTATTTTATTGTGAGCTCTAATAGATACTTTATAAGCCGTCAAAGAATATTTTGAAGTGTTCGAAACGTATGGAAAAGTTCTAACATAAACAGTTCAATATAGTTCATGTATTAGTTGTTAAAATAAAAAGTGTGTCCTTGTGACGCTGGCGCCATTATTGCGGCCTGTTAAAATTATGCAATCGAATGCTAAAAATCAGTAAAGTACTAGAAATGCTCGTTAATATTACTCTAATATGTTGTGTAAACTTGCTTTAACAACAAAATGCGTCGCTTTATCCATAAACTGCGGCGCCATTGTTGATGACCTACCGCCGTCGAGAAATTCGTTTCGCTTCGATGTCTGCATTTCTGTCGCCATATTGAATAATTGCTAGCAGAAAAAGTTGTGACGCGACGAATTGGGTGAAAAAAATTGAAATTTAACGCGTTTAAGTGCTAAACTTATGGAAAATTCTACGGAAAAGTGTTAAAGCATAAACTGTTTAACAAAAATTACATAAATTTTATGAAAAGTTGCACCAAACGTAAGTGAAAATTGCAATTGAAAAAAGTTATGTGGTTCTGTTTCTGAAAAAGAAAAGAAAAAAACGAGGCATACATATTTGTTAGTCGATATATGCCCGAAAGAGAAACGTTATAAAGAAGAAGCAGGCAAATCAATAAATTCAGAAAAAAGTGGCTGACGACAACGAGAAAAATCTGTTTTGTCATTAATTAATATATCTGTATGTTTTTTTTATTTAAAATCTGAATAAAGTAATGAAAGTAAACGGCAAGACAACGGCAATAAGGCATCGAAAAAACGCAACATCATACGAAAGACGACGTTGAATTTGCAACGAATTAACGAAAGTCTCTTTGTTTGAGGGATTTAGTCCGTCTCCGTCGTTGTACATACTTACAAACGTATACTACGTGCGTAGTAGCCAAAGAGCGCAACGTAACGCACACACAAGAGAAATAAGCAAAGAAAACAAGAAAGAAACACTGTATTATTGAAGGCTGTTTTGAATAAAAACTACCAAAATTTTTGGCCTTAATTAGAGAAGTTTATTATTGTAATGAGTGTCGCTGCAATGACTATGGACGATCAGAGACCATTGATGAATAGTTACGATAAAATGTCCTCTAAATATGAACAAAATTTACATAATGCCTCCTCGTCGTCGTCGTCGGTAGTTGGAGGAGGCAACAGTGTTAGTGGCGGTGGTGGTGGAGTAGGCTCTATGGGCGGCAATAGCGGTGGCCTATTGTCGGGTCCCGCTTCGCCTACACCCTCGGTCACAGAGGAACCCACCTCTTCCTCACATCATGCGGGAAGCCACCATCATCACCACTCGGCTTATTCACATCATCATCATCACCAACATCATCATCATCCGCATCATGTACATCATGCGGTAAATCAACAACAACAGCAGCAGCAACAACAACAGTCCTCAAGACCCTCATCGCCGCCGATATCAACGGGCGTCATGCATCAGGATACAGTTGCTGCTGCTGCCATCATTGCTGCAGCTGAACAGCGCCAACGTCAACTCGAAGGTACTGAACTATTTTTATAATTCAAACGTTTTTCTATATACTTTTTTTTCGAAAAATAAAAAGAAAGCAATATTATTTTTGTTTTGAAAAATAATAAAAAAAAAGAAAAGAAAAATAGTAAATGAAAGAAAATATGAACTGTGTTTACTAGCCGCCAGCTACATTTTGTGTGAGTGTGTGTGTTTTGTGCTACGATTTCGAAGAAAACGTTAAGTTTCCAAACATAATCTAATGTTATTTCGGTAATGATAATAAATAATAATCATATTTAATTTACAATTTTTTGTATATTAATAAAGCTTAACTCTTTGGGTGTTGTGGTTTTACTTTTTATTGCTATCTTACTTTTTTGACTTAGACTTTTAGTTTTGAAAAAAATCTTGAAAGATTCCCTTTGAGAACGAACTCTCCCATAAATAAATGCAGTCAGCGAACACTCGAACACTCTCTTATTGACTCTTAAAGAACTTTCCTCTTTCCAAAATAAAACAAAAACACTGCGCCGTGGTAAGATTAGGGTTCCTCAAGTTGTTATATTTAAAAATTTTGACGAATCGGTATCACCAGTGGAAAAGTGGCCTTTAAACAAATATCTTGCAAAATAAAATATCCTAAAAATGAAAAATTAATAATGCAGAGAGAAGAAAAATGCAAAAATATAAAAGTGAGAAAGAAGAACTATATAAAAATAAAAAATTATTAAAAAAAAATAAGTGCTTACTAAGAACTATAATAAGTGAAATATTAAAAAAAAGAATAAAAAGACATTGAAAATACAAAGAAAGTGCTTAAAATACAAAATAATAGTAACAAACTTTATAAGAAAGTTTTAGCTAATTATTAAAAATAAAAAATATGTATTTGTTTACCAAAAATTGTTTACAGTAAACAAAGTGCTTCAAAATATAAAAAGAACATTCATTTAATTTTCGGCAATTATAAATTAAACAAAATAAATATACACATATTACCAAAAAAAAGTATTTATATTTTTATAAAAAAGAAAAATCCCTGCAACAACAAAAAATCACACCGTCGCGTAATCACGTACGCCGCCTTGTTTTGTTTGAAAGAAAAAAAAAATAATTCTCCTCTCTCTCTCTCTTCTACTGCGACCTCTCACAACAACCTCTCTGCCATGAAAAATGATAATAATAATAATGCTCTTTTACACTTTGGCAACTCTGTGCTATACCGTCCATCGTCGCCGTCGTTGTTACTGTTATTATGTTTTTTTGTTTTTTATTTCTTCTGCGCGCCCTATATACAACAACCTAACACACCTACCCTCCCCTTATCGATTGATCAATCAACGACCAACCGACCACCGTGTGTATGTATGTATATAACCAAACGTAACGAAACAAACAAACAAGCCAGCCAGCCAACAACCTACAATGTCATTAAAGAAATAAAAACAACAACAAGATATGAGAAAAATACAAAAGAAATACAAATAAAAAGTCTCGAGCGTCGCGTGTTGTGTGTATTTATATTTCTCTACTGTGTACCCTGCTGCTGATGCCGCCGCCGACATTGTTGTTGTGTTGTGTATAGCAAGTTTTACCATGATTTTTTTTTGTATTGTTTCTTTATTTTGATTTTCTAAAAACCCCGCTGTAGAAGAATTTTTGCCCGTATATGAGAAAAAGAATGCCAACAAGAAAAAGAGAAAAAGTTGAAAAAAAGAAGTAAAACAACGACAAAAGTTTTGTATAAATGTCGAATCGCGGAAATATATACCCTAAAAAAAGTGCCACATAATACAAGTCCATGAGACAAAAAAATCTAACCAGTTTAAACGATTTTTTTTCTCTCAGTTTGAAAAGCAAATTGGTTTCTTTTGACAATCACTTTTCATAATGTCTACAACAAAAATATGTCAAAATCTAGTTATCTATTAAACCGGCTAATTAACTAATTATGCCATTTTATTAAATTTAGATTTGATAAAGAAGTACTGTCCGTAGTATCTCTCAATTTTGGGTTATCAAATTAATTACTAGTTTTTAGTTTGATATTTTGAAGAGTTTAGATAATGAATGACCGAGTTTTAGATTGACTTACTGACCAAACGATGAATGACTGGCCTACCACTGACTGTATTCCTCAACATGTCTTCAATAATCCATGTGAAACGGCTAAGAGGTCTAGTATCCAAAAGTCTAGAACTGGTCATAGTAGCGATAGTTTAGAAATCTCGTTTTATCTTCAATCAAATCCCTGAAGTTGTAAAAGATGTAGGACAGTCATTATTCGTGTAAGGAAAACAGTAAGGTAAATAAAATAAATTTAAAAAATGAATTAATAAAATTCTGTAATATTTTAGATTTTCAGTTCGAAATTTGCTTTGAGTTTTAATAGATAATATTTTGGAATTCACGCCATATATACCCTTAGGAGCCAGACAATTAAAACATTAATAGGTACTAACAATGATGTTGAAGACCCGAAGAGTTTGGTGTGATTACATTTTAAACATCTGGGGAATATTATGAGGAAGCCATTGGACTATTTATTCGCGTAAGGCAACCAGTAAGGAAGGTGAATAAATACAACATTTTAAATAATAAACTTTCAATTTGTATTATTTAGATTTTAGGTTCGTAATATGCGTTGAGATTTTTGATAGAAGCATACTTCCAGGATCTATAAAATATTAATATATAAGATGATATTATAACAGCTAGAACTGGGAGTCTTTTTCTTGCCATTCTTGGTTATTTTATTGGGCATAGAAAGTAAGGTTATTAGTCATATAAAGGAAATCAATTTACATAGAAAATTTTTAGGTTTTCACCTACTTTAAGGGGCTACAGAAGTAAAAGAAGGATATTGAAGTACCGGGAGGGACTGTTTGATGAATTTTGAACAGCTAGTATTAGGAAATCCGAAGGATACGAAATTTTCAGTGAAATCCTTGGTAACATAACGAATGCCGTCTAAATTCTGACAGTATGCAGTAATAATGATGAAAAGCAAAAAGTGTGTACATAGATGGAATTTAAGCAACAAATCTAAAAAATCCATGTATCCTTGTGTAACCAAGAGCAGGATATTTTGTCGCATAAAGCCGAAAAACATAATTATATTAAATTTACACTAAGATCCTTGGCATTATACCGAACTCCTATATTCAAATGACAGCATACTTTTAAGTCCTAGTATTTGAAAAACCAATTAATGGGACATTCAGATGTACTTTTGTCGAGTAAGGGTTCTAGTAAGCAAAAAGAAGATTGTGAATTGAATTGTGACAAATTTTAAGTTTAGGGATTAAAAGTTTCCAGAATATGCAGTAGGATCCAATAAAACAATAATCAAATATTGTAGCATACTTTTAGGCGCAAGTTTATTTTTACCAAAATGGGGCGGAAGAAGAAAAGCAATAAAAAAAGTCCTGGGAAACAAATCAAGAATCACAATATATTGGACAAACAGTTGTAGGTTGGTTTATTTCGTCGTGTATGAATAATAGTAAGCAAACAGAAAACAATTCAAAACAGAAAACAATTCAATAGTAAATGGATTTCTCGAAATTTCGTATTGAGTCAGGTTGTATTTAGTTTTCTAAATAAAACCTGAAAGAAAAGGGAACTTACATTCCATAATTCACATAAACTATTAACAATTATAAAGACATATATTAAAATAGTATTATGAAAAGTTAATACAGAAACCAAATTGCTTTTCCCAACACACAAAAATTTAAACGGGTTTTGTATCGCGAAAAAGCGATCATATTTGTGAATAAATTCCATACCAATTGTAAATATTAAACCTTTGTAAAAAGTTCTCTAAAAGTCAATAAGAAGTGTTTGTTATAAATAATCAAATTTAATATACTGCCCTCAAATTCAGCAGTGTTCCAGTGTGTTATGAGATGATTTACTTGAATAGAAAATAAAATGTCAATCAATTTTTAATATATTTTCTTTATTCAATCATCCATGTTTAAAAAAAAACAAGTGTTGTAACCAACGAGTTTTCGTTCAATCCATGAAATAATCCAAACGAAAATTAAGAAAATAGAAATTTTGTGATTATTTTCGAGAGAGTTGTAATAACGGAAAGAAGCAAAAAAAAGTGTTCAAAAATCTCTAAAAGAAAGTTTTCAAAAATACCTACAATATTTTTGGAGACTCTTTGCAACAACAGAACGAGCATCGTCGACAACCATAGACGTTTTGTAGAAATCGCACAAAATGACACGAATTAACAACTGCAACAACAAGACCAACAACACGAATGCGAATGATTGCATAGTATTGGTATGATTTCGTATTTTGTTTTTTAACCCACACAAAAAAAGAAACTCTTGAAATAAATCAAAAGAAAAAAATTAAATAATAATAAACATAGAAAAATGGATTACTGCAACAACAGTCGATCATAGCAAAGCAAATATACAATGTTTATTATTCATTTATATTTTATTTGTTTGTCTTATAACATACATATCCTCTATGTATATTTCTTTTCTCTCTCAACAACAACAACAATTTACGTAAGAGATGGAGAGAAGAAAAGATAAAGAAGTATTATTATATTATGATAATATATATTTGTAATGCTTTTTGTGTTTATTCACTGTGTATATAGTTTATTATATAGTATGTACGTCCATATGCTGTTTGTTTAACTATTTTTTTTTTGTTCATAAAACTATGGCAATTTTTATCTAATATTACTTTTTCTGTTTCTGTATTTTATAATTTTTATAAAACAATTCAATATCCAGATGAAATTGAAAATCTTAAATTGGAACAACAACGTCTTACCATGCAATGTACCGATGCCCAAAGACGTGAAAAAATACTTATGCGTCGTTTGGCCAACAAGGAGCAGGAATTTCAGGATTATGTGGTAAGTTTTGAAATGCAACTACTGACAACGATAGATATAATTTACATATTATTTCTTATTTTGCAGAGCCAAATAGCCGAATATAAGGCTGCTCAGGCCCCCTCAGCCGTTGCCTTGAGATCGGCCTTGTTGGATCCAGCTGTAAATTTACTTTTCCAAAAGCTAAAGAAAGAGCTCAAAGCCACCAAGGCCAAATTGGAAGAAACACAAAATGAATTGTCGGCATGGAAATTTACACCCGATTCAAATACCGGCAAACGTTTAATGGCCAAATGTCGCCTTTTGTATCAAGAGAATGAGGAGCTTGGCAAAATGACCTCCAATGGCCGTCTGGCCAAATTGGAAACGGAATTATCGATGCAGAAAAGTTTCAGCGAAGAGGTGAAAAAATCACAATCAGGTGGGTAATAACAAAGAGTTGTAAGTGGGGTGCTTGTAAATACCTTCCATATGATAGTCCCTAAAAGCTCCTTTCTTTTTGTTTAGGAAGACTTAGGATTAGCATTTTAAGTCTTCTTTGGGCCGTTAAGACTGTTTTCGCCCCGTCCACAAAGCTATGAACTGCTCCTAAAAAAGAAATCCTTTCTCGGCTCCAAAAATAATACTCTCTCTTCGTCCATCATTTCTTCTTTTTGATCTCAATTGAATCCTTTCTTTTTGTGAATAAAATCCGACGTTGGGTCCCTTATAAATATTCCCTCCAGCTCGCCTGTAAATGTTCCTCCCAGCTCTTCTAAAGCACACAATCTTTATGACTTCCTCTAATTCCATTCCTAAAGAATCTCCCTAACTCATTTCCAAAGACTCTCCCCAGCCCGTCTCTAAAGACTCTCCCCAATTCGTGTTTAAATAGTCTTCCTAGCACGCCCAAAAAGACTCTGCTTAGCTGGTCTTTGAAGACTATGTCCGTTTTGTTTCTAAAATTTGTCCTCAGCTTGTCTCTTAGGGCTCCCGTCAGCTCGTTCTTTAATACTTTTCCCAGCTCATCTCTAAAGAAAATTCCTTTAACTCTTCTGCCCAGCTCGTTTTTAAAGAGTCTTCTCGCTCGTCTCTTAATAATCTCCCCAGCTTGATTTTGAAGACTCTCCCCAACTCATCTCTAAAGATTAACTCCAACTCCTCTCTATAGACACTTTCTTCAGCTCTTTTATCTTTCCCCAGCCCGTTTTTGAATAATCTCCCCAGTTCGTGTCTAAAGACACTTCCAAGTTCTTGTTTAAAGATTATTCCCAACTTGTCCCTAAAATTTCTCACCAGCTCATCTCTAAAAACTCCCTCCAGATTCTCCCAGGTCATCTCCAAAGCCTCCGTCCAGATCGTCTCCAACGCCTCTTTTTCAATCCAGACTTTCTTTTAAGACTCCTACAGACCAAAGGCAGGACTTCTTGCAGCACACATTCGGTTGTCTATAATGACTTCCTCCAGTTTGTTAAGAAGGACATTTCCTTCATTATATAACAAGTATTCTAAACGCTTATAAATAAGTTCTTCGGTTTACCTATGAAATCTTCTTCTAGTCTTTAATAAATATTCTGCATTGGTCCCTATAAAGTTAGATTTTAGGTCGTACAACGAGAAGCTTTTGGCCTATAAAAATGTTTATTTCTTCCAGTTAGCCCAGATCAGTACTTTCCAGATCAATTTATAGGCTAGACTGTTTACCCGCCAAAACTTCTTGTAGTCTTTAACAAGGATCCCCTTCTGCTCCTTAGTAAATCCATTTATTTCTGTATAAATAGTCCCTTCAGTTGTTTCACTACAGCTTAATTTTCCATATCCAGTTTGTCTTGGGAACTAATTCATGTTCCTTCAGTTCGTTTATAAAAGAACCCACCATGACCCAACTTTAAGACGCCCTGGACCTTAAGCTCTCTTCCCCAAACGACAGTTGGTTATTTAGCTCTTCTGTAAGACTGCCATAAATTATTTCGTGGCGCGTTAGGTGTCATATCAAGGATTCACTATCACATTTTAAGAATCCTGTGTCCTTCAGATCATATGTTAACTGTACAATCACAAATAGCCGCAATTAATTTCTTTTTTTTGTCGGTTATAATTTCCCCCAATCATTAAATAATTTGCGAAGATGGCAACGCTGGTGGGTATTTTTCGTCACTAGTGTAACCTATCTATCCTATCAAACTGATTTTAATTTGCGCCGTTTTTTTATTAACAAAATTTAAGCAATTTAAATAAAGAATTTAACAATATAATAATTCGAATTAAAGTTTTGGATGTTGATAAGACCTTCTCCACATTTAAAAATCATTTTCTGGCAAATTAGAATATCTTCCTTCCCTTAGGAAATATATTCCATTCCCCTCCAAATATCAGTTGAACTTTATTTCTAACAACATAAATTTCTTTTGTTATTGCAGAACTTGACGATTTTCTCCAGGAATTAGACGAAGATGTTGAGGGTATGCAAAGCACAATTCTATTTTTGCAACAGGAACTAAAAACTACTCGAGATCGTATACAAGTATTGGAGAAAGAAAATTTTCAACTAAAAACCGGCATCTCATCGAATCAGGACGAGCAACAGGAAGCAGGCGTTGTTAATATGATTAAAAATGAACAGGAAATGTCTCCCGCCGCGAACAACAACGCTGTCGTTGTCGATGGTCAAGAAGAAGGCGATAATAAGTCAACAGCAGCAGCAGCAGTTATGAATGGCAATATTTATGGAAATGATGTACAAATGTCCACGACGGAGCCGATGTATAAACAACAAATGCCCTTGGAGGCAATTGATGAAAATGTCACGATGCGTACCGTAACCCAAAACACAGCATATTACAATGGCAGCGAATGCGATGCGGCAATGAGTGAACTGATACATGAGGGTAATGGCGGTGGAGCCATTGGTGCTAAAATGAGAACGGTTGCCTCAAGGAAACGCAACTACGATTGTGACGCTCCCATCGAAAGTATACAAATGACGCCGATGGCAGCACAACAACAGGCACCCATTGCCATGGTCTCTTCACCGCGTACTTTGCCTCCGAAAAAGTCCAAACTAAGAGTTGTGCCTCCCACCCGTAGATCCTCAATTCAATCGATTGATGAAAATGAAATGCTCATTAATGCAACGACAGTGAATAGCATTGTGGACAATGCTATGGATGGCATGGCCAATGAGGAATCAGCGGCGTGTGTTGGTAGTTCTGGCGATCCTCTGGCAAATGATGCGGCGACATCCCTGAATGCCATGGATCAACAGCAACAACAACAAGGCTCTGGTATGGTGGCTCAACGTATTATGACCCGACGAAGATCGGTGCGACTAAATGGTGCCAGCAATGGCGGCGGTGGAGGCGGTGATAGTAATCATTGATTTGTTTTAGACAAATATTCAATCTAGACATATTCTCACACACCTATTCTACTCTCCCCACCCCACACCACCCCCGTCTCATCGCCATTTATAATTATGACCACTTGTAAAACTCCTACTGCTCGCCCTTGTTCGTATGTCTGTCGTCGTCGTCCACTTCTTCACAATGGCAACAAAAAACAATAACAAATTTATTAAGCTAATGATGTATATCCATTAACCAACAAAAAATCACAAGAAATTTATGCAAATATTGTTAACAAACCTTATAGATTTATTGCTACAATTATTATTATTATTATTTTCTTTAAATTAATTCTAATTTAATTTTGTTTGTTCTTATTTTTAAGAATATTTCTTGCTTTTGATTATTTTGCCTAAAATTCAATTTTTTTGATGAATATTCTAAAGGAATTACTCAGGACTTTTGGCTGAGCCCGCCGCCCCGTCCCCCCATAAACCATTCTTTACCCAGAGATTTAGGCATGATTATTGTTTATTCCTGTTTAACAGACCTAAGTCGTCTCCCCGATGGTCTTTCATTCTCAGAAAAGCCAATTTTATTTATTATTTGCAGAAGGGAAGGCTGGGCTAAAAGTCCCTTTAAATTTTTTAATTCTCATCATTTCATTTTCTCTCTTTTCCTTTCTTGATGATTTCCATTTTATATAAAAAGAAAACAAAACAACATATTAGCAGCTTGCAGCAGTTTTTAATCTTTCTCTCCTTATTCTTGCTTTTCTTTCCTTTCATTTATTTCATCTATTTAGTTTAGCATTGAATTGGTTTTTATCACAACTACTATTAATTACTATTGCAAAACAACAACAACTACCATAAAATCAAGTAATTTTTTTATTATTATTTTAACCCTGGAAAACAAAACAAAACAAAAAATACAAGAAAATATTTTTAAAATAGTTTTTAAATCAGCAACACAACAACAACAAAAATCATTGATCAATTTTAAATTGACCATATTTTCTTTAGTTTAGTTAATAATAATTAATTTTTATAGAATTATATATATTTATAGTGTTTTCATGAGAAAAATGAAAAAATATACAAAGATAAGATATTAAAAAAAAAACACAAAAAATAATAATAAATAAAATAATATATTAATAGTAACGAGATATAAAAAAGAAAAGAAAAACAAAAAAAAAAAACAATCAATAAAAAAATTTAAAAAATACCAGAAAACAAATTGTGTGTTGTTTCTTTGGGAGTTTCAGAGGGGCAGCTATACATACAATGAAGGAATCTTTTGAAATTAGAAAACTCCCCACAGGTTGCCTATAAATGAATAAAACAAAGACTTTCAATGGGTTTTCTGTTGGTCCTAGGGTTTTTTATATAATCAAATGATATTTTGTACACCGTTTAATGTCAAAAACCTTTTAGAGAACTTCTGAATATGGTTGACACTCTTTAGACCTTTTATAAATATTTCTACAAGGATTTATGATAGAAAAGTTATTTTAGTTTTTTTTTCAGATGATCCTTGAAAATTTTCTCTTTCAAGTTCACGTTTTCATGGTCTGAGGGTCCTTTAAAAATACACGTTTTCTCCGTAAGAGGTTCATTAAAAAATATACACTCGAACATCCATGTCCCTTAAAATACACGCCTTCTTGTCCTGAGGATCCACAAAAAAATGCCCGCTTTCTCATTCAGATGATCCTTAAAAAATATTCTTAAGAAAATACAATTTTCTTGGCCATAAAAGTCGCGTTTTCTATATCATATATTCTGAGAGTCTTTAAAATTTGCACTTGTCTTTATCCATAAGACTTTGTCCTTTTCACCTCATCTATAAACGATTTCCTGACCCCGAAATGCGTTTCTGGCCTTCCACAACAATTTCCTGGCCATTCAGCTGGTATAACTGGTAGCCCATTTTTGAGTACTATCCGGTCATTAATCTTCTTTCAGTTTGCTTATAAAAAGTTTTAATCTTTAGCTCATCTGGAAAACAAAATCCAAAATTTTAGAATGTTTTGACAAAAGTAAGCAGATTTTTCATGTTTTCTTTTACGACACAAATCGGAGGTTGTTATGATATGCATTTTCAACCATTTTTATAAATGTCAGTAATTTCCAATAACAAAATTGGTTTGACAGTTCATTGTCCCCATGGTCGTTAGGTTGTCTTTGCAAGACTAGCTAGCCGTTCAACCCAATTCTCTGTTATTTCAGCTAACCTATCAGCCTATCCTGTGACAGACTTTCAATTGAGATTAGTTTTCCCTTTCCAGTTTGTCTTGGGAAATAATTCATGTTCCTTTATAAAAGAACCTGACATGACATGTCTTTAGGTAGACCTGGAAATTAAACTCTAGCACATTTTAAGAATCCTTCGTCCTTCATATCAGATATGTTAACATCCCAATCAAAAATAGCCGGACCGATTTAAATTTCTACGGAACGCATTTTTGTCGAGATATCATTTCTCCAATAATTAAATCATTTGCGAAGATGGCAACGCTATTGGGTGTTTTTCGTAACTAGTGTAACCTATCTGTTGGAGCAAGTTGATTTAAATTTGAAGCTCTTTGTTGTTGATGAATATTAAGAAAATAAGGCAACGTAGATAAACAAATTATTAATATTACAATACGAATTTAAGTTTTGGATGTCGATAAGTCTGTGCAACAACGTAGAGGTTTTGTAAATACGATTATCATCTGCCAAACTCACCAATCTCTCATGGACCGACTTTTTAATTTATTATTAGAAATATATTAATTTCTTATTAGAAATAATAAGAAAGTTAGCTCATCTATGTATGCAATGCTGTATGTGTAACGGAATATATGTTTGCTGGTTTTCCGAATAACAATTTCTTAAAATACGTTTTCATAACCTTGGAGAACAACTGTGAACAACCATCCTGTCTCTCTGTAATGAGAGGGAGTTGCTGAATATTAAAAACAAAAAATGTAAATATTTGGCATCCTAGGCATTCAGCATGTGTTTGGAATACTGCCTGATCAGTTCATCTATAAATAATTAATTTTTATAGACTCCTTGACCCTGCCCCAAATTTTAAGTATCCAGCTTTTCTATAAACTACTCCGGTTTTTGCAGATAATATATAAAATGCTCCCTGAAGCTTAAGTTCATTGTTAAATTTTTTATCTTGCCTTTACAAAACTCCATGTTCTCCAAGCTCGTCTATATAATAGACCTCTTGGCCCTTGTACTCCTCGATCCTTCACCACATTTGGACTTTGGGCAATCTATAAATGATTGATTTAGTATTTTAAGTTTATATTTCAAATAATATATATTTGTTTATATCGTTTTTATTATTATATCTATACAGTACATTTGTAGCTATTTGAGCGACATCTATTGGAATATTGTATACCAACTAGGTTAATGTCTGTGCTACACGCGCATTTTGCAAGTCTTAAACAAATACCGTTTGTAAAGCATACTTTCAGGCAGAGTGGTGTGGTGAAATACCTCATAAAATAGACGTTTTCAAACGGAAACGAAACAAAAAAAAAACTATAAAATATTTTGGAAAAATAATTAAATTCAATTCTGATTCAAACAATCTAAGTTTTTTCTGCCTTCGTTATTGACACAGTTTCCTGTTTAGAAATTTCAACATTTTTGAAATATTTTCAAAAAAAAAAAAAAATTGTAATATAATTTATTATAATTAAATAATAGAAATATTGCCTCATTTTAATCATTTATTTAATTAACAGAAGCTGCTAATCTTTGAAAGTCAGACCATAAATTTTCGACCGCAACAACAACTAACTGGCAGGTGTTATTTCCTATTGCAACAGCCAACTGTCATGCGGTATACGGTTGTTGTTGTTCCTGCTGTTTTTTTTTCTTTTTCTAAATTTAAATGCGGACAAATCGTTTCAATTATTCACAGAAGTCATTGAGAAGATGTTATTTCAATTATTTTTATGTGGAAATAATTAATTCTATGAAATACCCCACTCCCCTCCTAACACCTCTCATCCAGCCACGGCTAGTTCTGCCACCAATCAAAATTAACATAAATAATTTGAATTTTGCAACAAAGAAAACAAATAACAAGACATTTATTCAATACTGAAATGAATTACAGCGGTGTTTAATTTAAAACTTGTATCAAATCGACAGCATGGATGACGATGATGGTGTTGGCTGGTTAGCTGCCCTGACCAGGCTCTCTCTCTCTCATTGAACCACACAAACAAATAGTGTGGCAATCATAATCAGAGAAGCCAATTGTAAGTTTTTCAAAAACCAACAATTGGCAAGCTGGCCGGCTGCCTGGCTGGCTAACAAGATGTTGTAGTGTTGCATACCAATACAACAACGTCAGAGACGAGGCTACAGCATTTACATGAATTCTTTTTGTGGTCAGTGTCTTGGCCATTGGCAATAATGTTGTAGGAAGTACCGTTTTCCCAAAACAGCTGCTGGCCAACATTTTTCTGCTTAAGGCCAAGGCTGGCTGTTTCGCAGCGAATTAAAAATGAAAACGAAATGGAAAAAAATGAAATTTCTGTGGTTTTGGTCTTGGCCGAATAACATTGAATCTTTGGAGTACTTTTGGAAGGTGGGAGGTGGCGGTAGAAAAATTAAGCAATTTAAAGAACAATTATAACTGAATTTCATGCAATTAAATGTTAAGGAACCACCAGTCAGCCAGGCCGAATATCAGATTTTCTATAGAGTATTCCATAGACATGCTAAGGGCCCACGAATCCGGTTATAGGTGCACAAAAGAGTCAGGTAGCATTTTTCATGTAAGATCATAAGGAGGCGGGAGTCCTTTACAAAAGAGTTGCATTATAATGTGATGTTTACGAAAGAGCAGGGACCATGGAGTCTTATGAAGATGAGATCAACATTTTGGACAGACTAAAATACCAGGTGGTATTTTATAGATGATCCGAGGGAACTGATTGGGCAGTATTCTAGAAACAAGCTAACTTTTTGCATTTGATTCCAAAAATAAATTTAAAAAAATCCACCAAGGACTAGTGAAATCGACAAAGAAAAACCACTGAAATCGACCGTTCGGATCGTATTTTAAAACCGCTTAACTATAGTTTAGTAAAAATTCTCGGATTGTGAAATTTGTTCCAGTTTGACCCGGGCAGAATCGGATTGTCCAGGTTTAAAGACAAATATCTCTTGATAATAGCACAAATTATAGCATTTTGGAAAGGTTGAAGTGTGAGCCATAATTTGGCATTTTTTGGATTCCCAAAACTGTGACTTTTCCGAATTTCGGGGGATTTCTTTTAAAAAACTCGGGTCCAAAAATCTATCTATTGATACAACTCCCGAACCATTTTCAATTTTATTAGCTTTCAAATGATACCTATATTGTTTAAATTAAGTCTGGGTGTAAACCCGGGTCTTGAACCCAAACTTTTGGCTCAAAAATCGGGGTATCTGGGGTCCGCTCCCCAAGAAAAAAATACTTTTTTCCTCTGGAAAAAATGTCAAAAAAAATCCAAAAGTTTTTACAAAACAATGGTTGTTCCATATAAACCTCCATGTTGCTCCACAGACCTATCAACATCCAAAAATGTAATTCGAATCATAAAATTGCAGATTTTTTATTTAAAATTACTACATCTTTACAAAAACACAAGGCGCTTCAATTGTCAATCAATTTGCTCAACAAATAGGTTACACTAGTTGCGAAAACGACCCATTCGCGTTGCCATCTTTGTAAATTATATCATGATGTGAAGAATGACTCTCGACAAAAAAGCGTTCCTTGTTGTGGATGAACTGTTTTTAAATTATCTGAAGGACGAAGGATTCTGTAAATGTGATGGAAAATGCCTGATATGGCCCCAAGGGTGCCACAAATTTATTTATAGAAAATCTTATGCCCAAGACAGTTTTACAGAAGAGTGGTTTGCCCCTTTACAAATTAATGAAAACACAGATGTTTTTTTTTTAATTTTTATTTTGTTAATTTTTTTTAACAGAGAGAAATTTCAAAACTCTTAGAATAGAGGGGAAATAGATAACCTCACATAAAATTAGATTCGCAAACGAAAAAATAAAATTTATTATCAGTTGTTTATTTTTTGTTTTATTTAAAAGATATTCATATTTTATTTTAACATATTACACTCAAGAAAAAAAAAATAGTTATTAAAAAGAAAAATTTCAACAAATCAACAAAAGTTAGATGGTAATTATTTTTTATGCTTTTAAATTAATTCTTAGCAAACAAAAGTTGTACGTGTCTATTAGCGGGTTGTGTTAGCAAACCTTTCTCTGTGTGTTAGCAGCTAATGAGCGATGACATCGGCAGCAGCATTATCAGTTAAGAAAAAAAGTAATTAGATCGCGATTTAGTATTTATAGCCGGGTCTGCCACCGGGTCCCTGAGGAAATTGAGGTTCACCTTCGTAGCTGACATCTGCATGATAGCCAGTTTTCCAGTCGGCTGTGTAGCGTACCACCTGGGTACGGCCATCGGGCAATTGAACACGGTATTCACCGGTCACAACATCGCCATCACTGCTGGCCTTGTGGGCATAGTCGTTGGCGGTCTCGACATCGTTGACGGCATATTCAAAATCGAAAGGCATGCCGGGCATGTGAACGTGGTCCTGGGAAAAAGAAAAATTGATTTATTATTATTATTATTATTATTATTAATATTATTGTTATTATTATTGTTATTATTATTATTATTATTATTATTATTATTATTATTATTATTATTATTATTATTATTAATATTATTATTAACATTATTATTATTATTATTATTATTAGAAAATCAAATACTCACTGGTCCTGGTTCGCCTCTTGGTGGTGGACGTGGCTGGTTACCGCCTGGACGTGCTGGTGTGCCGGGTGGAGGAGCCTGCAATAACAATAAAAACATGAACTCATTAACATTTTCCTTTCCCAAATCGTATCGAATCAGTTAAGAATTGCCAGAAAAAATGGTGACCCATTATCCCTCCACGTCTTAAGGTGACGACTACGACGACGGCGAAGCGTCGATATTTATGTTAATGCCAATTTAATGCTGTCAAAATGAGGTGCGCCCAAGAATGCATCATTGGATCGCTTCTGGCACAAGTGGGTAGAGAAACATGTTTGATGGTTGGTTGGCTGGTTGGTTACTTAGTTAGTTCGATTGTTGTTGTTCTTTTCTTTTCTTTTTTGGTTTATGGCCAAACAGAAAATGTTATTTGCCATTCTGCCACAGAATTCAATATTTACCAAATACGTTACAACTTTTTTTGGAGTCATGTTCTCGTTGTTGTATTTGTTTGCTGTTCGTTTTAGTTCTCTCTTATTGGATTGAAGTGCCATGCTTTGTTTTGGTTTTTCTGTTTCATTTTAATTTTTGTTTAAAGTTCAAGTTGTTTGAAAAGTTTAGTTGTTTCTTTTTTTGATTTTTTTTCGGAGGGGAGGCCTTATCATGTTCAAATCAATTGGGTTCGGGTTTTTTTGTTTGCTTCTATTAATTTAAATAAATCGATGAATAAAAAAAAGGTTTCCATAAAAATACATCAACACGTATTGAATTGAATTTTGATATAATCAAATGGCAACAGTAGCAACAAGAACGTAGTGGATAATAAGGGTTTCTAATTGGAAAATAAAAGAATTGTTTTGGGAAAAACAGTATTTTTGGGGTCTGGGGATTTTTTTTTCAAGAACCATCAAACGAACAAGAAAGTTGCTCCACTGGCTTATCAACGTCCAATACTTAAATTCGAATTATAATATTATAGATTTGTTTAGTTAAAATTGCTAAACTGTGCAAAAAACGAAGCACTTCAAGCTTCAATAAATTTGCTCAACAAATAGGTTACACTAGTTACGAAAAAGACCCATCAGCGTTACCATCTTCACATATTATTTAATGATGTGAAGAATGATCCTCGAGAAAATGCGTTCCATGGAAATTAATTTCGGTGCGGGCTGTTTGTAAATAACAAAAAATGCACCACAGAAAACTTGGTCGATTGTCTTACAGGCCGACCTTATATAGGCCTTGATATTGTAGATTTGTTTACTTAAAATTTCTAAAGCTTTTTAAAAACGAAGCACTTCAAGCTTCAATCAATTTGCTCAACAGATAGGTTACACTAGTTACGAAAAAGACCCATCGGCGTTGCCATCTTCGCAAATTATTTAATGATGTGAAGAATATCCTCGAGAAAAAACGTTCCATGGGAATTGATAATAAAAATGCACGATGTATTAAATTATATATTGGCATAAATGGCAGAAACAACAACAATTAGGATTTACTGGATGGTAAGGGTTTCTAATTGGAATATAGGAGATATGTCGTAGAGAAAAAAATTATATTTTTTGGGTCTGTGGATTCCGTTTACAGGCCTATCGAACGTGGTGTTTAAAATAATTTTTTTACTGGACCACCAGGGTTATATGGTCAGGTGTGTGAAGAATATTGTTTCAAGGACCGACAGAACCATGAATATGTATTTTTAAGATGATATATATTTTTTCGTTATACTTTTTGACATCTTAGGGACATGAATGCGGATAAAAAAATCCAGGAAACATGACATTTTTTGAGGATGTTTTTTATTTTAATGAGGATGTTTTTAATACCATCAAGGATCCAAAGAAGGATTTTAAAGTTTAGCCTCTTGACCAAAACGTGAATTTTTAAAAAAAATATATTTTCTGGGCCACAAATGTGAATTATTGAAAAATATTTCAGGAACCAAGGAATATTTTTTCAAGGATCATCAGCACCATAAATTTGTTTTTTTAATGAAATGACCAGCTTTTCAAAGGTCATCAGGACTACAACGTGGATTTTTAGAAAATATTTCTAGGAACAATAAGAAATTTTTAGGAATATTTTCTAGGGATCCATCAGAGAATTTTTTAAGAATATTTTTTCCAGGACAATCAGGATAAAGATAAATGAGAATTTCTAAGAATAGATTTTTGGTATCATCAGGGAGCTTTAAAGGTGAGAATACATAAAACGCTTCTTAAAATCAACGACTGGCTTTTTCGTAGTGGACCAAAGGAGTTTTAGGTTGACTTAGTTCGATTTTGGCCCTACGCTCCTTTGTTCTTTTCTGAAGAAGCCAGCCGATAACATAAGCCATTCAAAAAGCGTTGTATGTATTCTCACCTTAAAAGACTAATCTGTCAAATAAAAGGGGCAACAAGGGGAAAAATTTGAAAATATGTCTTTAAGAATCATCAGAGCCATAAACGTAGATTTTTTAAGAATATTTTTTAAGGGACAATCTGGGTTTTAAATGGCCTTTTAAGAACATTTCCTCAAGGGCCTACCTGGGCCATTTAGGAATAATTTTTTCAAAGAAGTCATGAACGTGGATTTTTTAAGAAAAAATTTTTAAAGACTCTCAGGAAATTTTCAATATTATTTTTCCAGGACCCTTAACGTGAATTGTTTTAAGAATGTCTGTTAAAGGTACCATCCATTTAAGGAATATTTTTTCAAAGACCTTCAGGAATTTTTAAGAATATTTTTTAAAAGACCCTTAGAGTAACGAACCTGGAATTTTCAAGAGTATTTTTCCTGGACCATTAGGGTAGTAAACGTGGATTTTTTAAGAATATTTTTTGAGACCATCAGGGAATTTTTAAAAATAATTTTTTCAGGACCATCAGAACGAAAAATAAGGTTTTTTTGAAGAAAATGCCTCAAGGATCATCACGGTTTTTAAGCATATTTTAAAGGATTATCCGGGACCTTCAGGAGTTGTTTAAGAATATTTTTTCCAGGACTATTAGAGTAACAAAGTAGGAATTTTCAAGAATATTTTAAGAACCATCAGGGTAATAAATGTGTTTTTTTTTTAAGAATATCTTTTTTTTTGAAACCATCAGCATAATTTTCAAGATTTTTTTTTGGACCATTGGGTTTTTTTTTTGAGAATATTTTTTGAAATACCATCAAGACAGCAAACGAGGATTTTTAAAGAAGATTTCAAGGATTACCAGATTTTTAACAATATTTGTTTAAAAGTTCAAGGGATCTCCAAATGTGGGTTTTTAAAAGTATTTTTCTAAAAAAAAAATTCAGTCACATCACCGCGATTTTTCGAAGAAAAATTTCTTCAATCTTAGATTTTTTAAGAATATCTGTTTTGGGGCCAGGATTCTTAAAGAATTTTTTCCAAGCATCATCGAACCTTCAAACAAATGTTTTTGCTAAGGAAAATACGAAATAAGCAAGCGATTCATTCTTAACACAGGATCTGTTGTGAAAATAGTAGATATCGGCCCACTCCTTCTGGTAACTCTCCCACAAAAGGTCAAAATTTTGAATAATTTGAATAGAGGTAGTGGAGAGTGCATGGCAACCCTTCGGTCTACTTTTTGAAGGGTTATTGACACATTGAATCTCCATGACCGAAATATCAAATCCCTTTCAATAATGTTGCCCCATATCTTCAAGATATTAGTTGCATTATGCGGTTTGACATGAATTTGCTAGTGATGCAGGTTGGGCGCCATTTTTGTGTTTGTTTAGTTACCAATTTTCTTTTGGATTAGTAATCAATATCTCAACCCACTTTAGGTTTGTAACAACTCGTTACACAATTTCAATATGATGTTGTTGTTGTCAACGTTGTTGTTTGAATATTAAGATTTCAATTTTCAATGAAATGATATTCAATAACCGAGAGGCTGGCAGTAATTAAATGTATTTGTCCCAAATGTGGTTAAATGTTGCAATTAAATGGCTTTTGTTTTTTTTTTTAACTTCGTCTGCCTTGCGAATGGAAAAAAATATTATCTGTATGTGCTCATCATCAGTCTTGTTTGTCTGTATGTTCGTATGTTTGTAATGTGTGTAATTAGATAAATTTGTGGCGAAGATAACATGAAAAATACTCAATTAAAGTATCGTTATGTTTGGTTTGGTTTGGTTTGATTGTTTGCGAAATTCGGTAGACATCTTCTTGTCAAAGGGGGCCAAGGGAAAGGGGGTTTCAATTTTGGAATGGTAGGAGTGAGGAGGCTGGCAAAGGGCTATAGATCTTCTAAAGGCAATGGAGGTCTTCTAGATACAGTAGAAGATCTCTATATCTTCTACTTGTCAAAGGGGACCAGGGGAAAGGGGGTTTCATTTTTGGAGTGGGAGAAGTTAGGAGGGTGACAAAGGTCTCCAGGTCTTCTGTAGGTAATGTAGGTGTTCTAGAGACAATAAAACATCTCACTTTTCTAAATAGCAGGGACAATCAGATCCTCTAAAAATCCTAATAGATTCCAGCTCCTCCATTAAAAAATATTGAATTGGACTCCCAGGCTCTTCTTCTCAGCCTTCAATTTTGGAATGGTAGATGAAAGTAGACTCACAAAGGACTCCAGGTCTTCTATAGGCAATGATTGTCTTCTGGAGACAATAGAAGATCTTTAGGTCTTCTATAGATCATATAACCCCCCTGTGACTTATGCTCTTCAACACGTCAAAAAATGTGCAGACCTTCGGTTTTTCTGGAGCTGGAGCTATCAGCCATCTATAAAACCTCAGAGTATTCAGCTCCTCCATAAAAAAGTGAAATTAGACTCCAGCTCTTCTTTTCTCCAAATTGTCCAAAGGAAATGGGGTTTCAATTTTGGATTATTAGAATAGAGGTGGATGACAAAGGTCTCCAGATCTTCTGTAGGCAGCTTAGGACTTCTAGAGGCAATAGGAGATCTCTCAATAGGAGATCTCTCTTTTCTAAATAGCAGGGGCCATCAGATCATCTAAAAATCCTAATAGTTTCCAGCTCTTCCATAAAAAAATATTGCATTGGACTTCCAGGCTCTTTTTGAACTGTGGAATTAGACTCCCAGATCCTTCTTCTTATCAAAGTGAGGTTAAGAGAAAATTGATTTCAA